TTTCTCTCCNAAAAAAAGACAAAAAGGAAAAAAAAAAAACCTACAGTAATCAGAAAGATTGATAGAAATGAGTCTGTTTGGCAGACATAAAAACCAATTGGATTCACACAAAAACATGTTCACCAGTGTTCATAGAAACATTATTCACGACAGCCAGAGAGTAGACACAATCTAAATGTCCAACAACTGATGAATGTATAAACAAAATGTGGTGGTGTAACAGTGTAAAAACCACAAAAACAAAGTATGATGCATACTACAATACGTATGTGCATTATGCTAACTGAAAAAAGCCAAGTGCAAAATGCCACATATTGTATGATTCCATTTATATGATGTGTCTGGAACAGGCAAATCCACAGAGATAGAAAGTAGACTAGTGCTCCCAGGGACAGGGGGAGGAGAGATTGGGGAATTATGGCTAATGAATGTGAGGTTTCTTTCTGGAGTGATAAAAATGGTCCGGAATTAGATAGTAGTGAAAGTGGCACAACTTTTTGAATATATGAAATAAGAAATGAATTGCATACTTTGAAAGAGTGAATTTTATGGTATATGAGCTATATCTCCATTAAAAGAAGAGAGAAACAAGTGGAAGTTAATAGGGACTATGTTATCTGGAAAGCCTTGTACCACCTAAAGAGAATAACCCTTTTCTGCCTCAGCTAATTACACTGGAAAAATGTGGTCTCAGGGTAGAAATATTTTCCACTTTTTGGACAGAAGTTGAAAATTTTGAGTTTTGGATGAAATCTCTTTACTTTTAAGTTATAAAATAATCCAGAAAATTCAAATTTTTTGCAGTCCATATAATCTTGGGCTCACAAAGACCACTAGCCACTGTTCTGTGACTTCTGCCATCCTGGACTATCCAATTTTCATACCCCATTTTGTAGTTATTGGAAACGAAACTATTATTCCTCTAACAAGCTCTCAGGATATCTGATCAATGAAGAGAGGTTGAATATACCTTTCCCCATCACTGCAACAGCACAGTATATTCTCTCCCAGAAGACCAACCCCTGACCCCACCACCTCTGGGCCTCTCACTTCATATTTAATAAACATTTTTTTCAACACCAACTAGGTGCCAGGCACTCTTCTAGGTGCTATAGGAAAAACAAATGAATAAGTCAAGGTCCCTGCTCTCAAGGAGTTCAGTCAAGAGGGAAAGACAGACTTGTAAACAAATCAAGGTAACACAAGACAGAATTAAACCAGAGCCTGATAGTAGTACAAATAGCATACTATGGAAGCACAGACAAAGCGGCTATTAATTCTGCCTGGAAATATCAGGGAAGGCATTTCAGAAGAAGTGGCCTTTGGCTGAGCCATCAGAGTAAGTTAAGTTCACCAAGTGGAGAGAAAAAGACAGAGAGAGAGAGAAAGGAGGGAGGGAGGGCGAGGTCGGAAGAACTCAGATGGGATTAAATTAAATAGAGGGCATGGTAAAGAGATGAGGCAGATGATGGAAGAACAGATCTCACCCTCCTTGGGCCTACAATGTACTTTACACAATCTTCTTATGGCTTTTATCATGCTGGGTTAGAAAAACTTGCTTACATGTTGCTCTCAAACATTGAAATGTGAATTCCATGAAGGGAAAGATCATGTCTTATTCATCTTGTTGTTATTAATAACCTAGCATAATGCCTGATATATAATAGGTGGTAAATAAAAATTGGTAGGATGAGTGAATTTGTGAACCAACAAACAATCAAAAAGAGAGATTAGGGCATATAGGCATATATGGGGAAGGAAAAAGCAATCCATTTTGGCTGGGCAAAAGGGACACATAGAGACCATTAGAGGTCAAATCAGATAATATATAGACCCATAGGCATTCAATTTGGTTTTAGAAGGCCTTTCTAGGGCCAGCCCCGTGGCTCGCTCCAGAGAGTGCGGCGCTGGTAGAGCCGAGGCCGTGGGTTCAGATCTTATATAGGGCTGGCCGGTGCACTCACTGGCTGAGCGTGGTGCAGACCACACGAGGCCCAGGGTTGCGATCCCCTTACCGGTCAAAAAAAAAAAAAGAAGAAGGTCTTTCTACTGTACCTTAGATTATCTGAGTGAGACAGCTTCTTTCTCTTCCCATGCATTTCTCAGTCCCCAAAAACATTCCAACGATGGACAAAATAATGACTGTAAAGACAAGAAAATGCATAGCAGATGCTCAGTAACAGTTTTTTAAAAAATTGAATGAAAGAGTGAATTACTCCATACCAGAATGGTGTTAGTTTTTATGTTTCTAACTCACATTCTATTTGTGGTCAGTTCTGACCCCCATGTGTTTTTCTCTTACACTCTTACCCATCCTATATTTGTATTCTTGGGTTTGGGTCCCTGCAAGCACATTTTCTTATTAAATTTCAAACCTAATTATTACAGACTTATTTTTCCAATGAATAGGGTTATTCAAAGCTTTATTACTATTTTCCACACAATCAAAACCACACCAAATTTGGGAAGCACAAATCTGATACACATTCTTCATTTCTTTGTCTGGGATGTCAATAAATAAGCTGACTGTATTAGACTTCAGTATAAATCCCTACTGGTCCAACCATCACTATGTCTACTATTCTCATACCACCTCTATCATCCACAAATCTTCAACCCAGATATTGAGATTGTTAAAGTAATGTGGTCAAGATTCTACTTTTCCCAGGTTAGCTAGTAAAAAAGATTACTAGGCTTCTCCCTGGTCTGTGGGTTCTGTGCTATTACTGTTGGAAATTAAAGTTGTCTGTACAATTTGCTCTTCACAAAACCATGTTGATTCCTCTTTAGTGCCTCAGGATTTCCTGGATGACTGCAAATTGATTAATTGATGGTTCTTTCTCATTTTTCACAAAGATCAATAAGTTGGCGGTCTTTAATTACTAGGGTCATCCTATGTTTCTACCCCTCCTGTTTCAAAGACAGGCATATATGTCCATTTCTAGTCTTTAGGGACTTTTCCAGTTCTCCATGATTTCTCAAAAATAATGACCCGTGGGTATATAGGCACATCTGCTTGTTCAGCAAGTACCCTTAGGATGCACATCATCAAATTTTACTGATCTGAATACTTCCATTTTTCCTTCCTTCATTAACCATTTCTCTCCCTTTGATTAGGTGTTTATTTCCCAAAATTCCACCTTGCCTGAACTTCTCCCAGTCACCCACTTACTTAATTGTACTATTCGGAAGAAATAGGATGGAAGACAAGAAGTTCAGCCGCATCCATCCCCTGATATTAATAAGCATTCCTTCCTTCTTAATCATGAGATCCAATTTTTTTCTGGTCTATTTTTTTCCCAAATGTCTTTTAAAAGTTGTTTAGACCTTGTTTTTCTATACATGCTAGTTTTATCTTCCTCCCAACTGTGACCATTCTTATTTTATCCCTCTTTTGCTATTTCCATATGTTCTGTTGTAGGGACATGCTCGGATTTCCACATATTATGTACTTTTTCATACAGAAATAGTAATGGGTACTAAGGACACAAAGCAATAAAAAAAAAAAGCCCTACCATTAATTTCATAATCTAATGAAATAGATAATTATTTTTCTTTTTTTTTGCTGTGAGACATTTGAAATTTACTGTTATTTATTTATTATTATTATTTTATTTATTATTTACATGTTCTGACAGAACTACTAATTAGACTTTTGAAAAACAGGCTAAACTCTAGCCTTTAGGAAATCTTCCCTTACAATCAGTTACCTGACTCATCACTTCTAACTTTGTGTCCCACACCCCACTACCCAAAGTCTTAAATACTAATATGGGGCAGAGGGAGAGTGTCAGCATTTTCCAATTATTCATTATCTGAGTCCCTACAGTTATATAAAGAGGCAAAAGTCATAACCCAAGTAGATCACTAGAGAACTGACCACATACAAAAAACAAAAAAACAAAATTGTATTCAAACATACCTCTGCACTTAACTTGGTTGGCACTTCCTATCTGCAACAACAACTTTGTTCAGTCTCTGCTGCTTGTGGAATATTGTGATAGGACAATACAATGCAAATTCAATGCAAATCCTTTACAAGGCAAAATTTTAAATCTTTTTAAAGATACATAGTTTTGTGAAGATGATGAAGATGATGTGGAGACCTAATCAAATCACATGCAAAGCCACTGACAATTGAGAATCTAGAAGTGGTAGACCAGTTAATGATTGAAGAACACAAAATGAACAAAGACTTGATGAGTATGACTTAAATATCAAATTTTAAAAGATGCCATGAAAAATATGAAGCTTTCAAATACCTTTTAAAAAATTATCTTCTTCATAATTATATTGCAAAAATCACATGAGTATCATTCCAGCTATCATACAATTTAATCTAAAAAACTAAGCCACAAAAAGAATCAATACTTGATTCATTCTCTCTTCATTCTCAGAATTAGTGCATAATTATAACTACCTCTTAAATGTTAATAATATAAGATAAAATAAACCTCTTAGCATTCCTTTTTCTTTTCATTTTCAAGATTAAAAATTAATCAAATTTGTTTCCTACTTATTATAAATTTTGATTCTATTTAAAATGGACTTTTCCATTTTAATTATCTTGAAATTACAAAGCTTCCTGTAACTGCTTTGTCAGCGTTAATACTTGCAAATGTCTGTTTTCTCCCAGCTAAACAGTAAGCCCTCCAAGGACAGAAATTATGAATTCTATTTTGCTTTATTACCTGCCTCTACCACCACCATCTTATTTCCAACCACAACCCACACTCCTACCCCTGCCACAGAAATCTGAGGAAAATAAGTATACAGAATATATTAAAGACTGATTACCTGACTTGGATGATAATTCTCCTGAAGGTAAGGCTAACTGTACCACCAACACTTACCCAGCACTAATGGTGGTACTTGAGGTTTCTCACCTATTTACTTAGCCATGGCTCCTTTCATTCATGACAAGCCTACCTTAGAAAGGAAAAGATTTTGAAATTGCCTTTTGAGGTATTATTTTATTTTGTTTTGTTTTCACCCTACAGGATATTCTTTCCTATCACAAAAGAAGCCATCAGCGTCTCTCTCCTGGATTATATCTGGGTTACCTAAAGCTATGCAGCTCTGTGGATCAGATCAAAGTTCTTGTCACCCAAAAGTTGCCCAACATTCTTTGTCATGTGAAGATCCGCGAAAACAATAATATTTCCAAGTAAGTTGTCAGGAGTTGGGATTTTCCTTGTGATAAAACAATGTCTCAAGTAACCATCTGATATACTAGAAGGAAAGTGATGTGCCGCTTCCCAGCGTAGTTTCTATGGTGAGATGTCCCTTATCAGACTGGAGTAGCAGCAGAGCTAAATTTTAACATAAAAAAAGGAGGGTTTGCAGTGTTGGTTGATGGGAGGCCTGAGGTCATTAAAAGGGGGCACTATCCTTTCACTTTCCTCTCTGCATTACTCATGGTTCAACCATGCTCAACTGGTTAATGAACAGATGACCTTTTCTTTCAACATTGCTATTTCCAATATATTTTCTTTGCAATCTAAAATAGTCATGTTCTTTATGTTCTTTGATTTTTTTTAATATCACCTATGGGAATGGGCTCTGATAAAGTTACTGATTCCCCATGATGTTAAAGGACTACTCGCACCACCACCAGCACCATCCGTAATCTCCCTAGTCCTAACCCTCTAGCCTGAGGATCTTGTATGTTTCCTATATTCCTTATGGTTCTCTAGGGACCTGGCATGTTTCCTACACTCCTTACGGTTCTCTAGGGAAGAAAAGAAGTAACAAGTCCTGAGCTTCTGGAACCTTGCTCTATGGTTTGGCATTTGGTGAATTACCCTGTTAGCTTTGGGAAAGTTGCCCAATTTTGGTAATGTGGCTCAACTTCACAAGTAATTCTCATAGCAGGCCTCTGAAAGTCTACTATAATGAATTGAATTGTGCTCAACATGAAAAAACAAAAAGGAAAAGAAAAGAAAAAAAGGAAGGAAGGAATAGACAAGGAAAAATATTCCCCAGAGTTCTTCAGGCTTCAAGGAGTATAAACTAGATCCTCAAATTCTAGTTACACCTATGGATTTACTTAACCAAAGAAGTCTCTAATTTGGTCATTTAAAATGTGGTCCCTAAAGTGTCAAGACTTTATTAACTCTAATGTCTCACAAGATTTATTTAATAAGTATTACCTGATGACAGTGAAGGAGATGAGGATGATGATGATGGTCTCTTTGAAGAACTCACTAAAATATTCTCTCCTTTCACTTATCAACTACACCTGGACTTTAAGTGTGCCATCTGGTGGTCACTTCTACAATTAACGTTAGTTACTCCTCAGTCCTTCACAAAAGGTTACATGGCTCATTTGTAGATTTGGCTTAAATTCTTTCTTTTAGTGGCTTTACCAATTTCCTCCTGCCAAGGATCCAAGTTTCATCTGTACAAAAGATTCTAGTAGACTTCGCTCTGCCATTTCCATCTCCTTCATCCCTACAGAATAAACTGATTAGTTAGTGGTGTTTCATGGTATTCCTCCTGGTTATTTATTTTCTAATTTTATTACAGGCTCTATTTTAGCAAAGTGGTCATTAGGTTTCATGTATACTTATCCTAGTCATAAATTTCTCATCTAGTTCAATATCAGTGATGGGAGAAAAGAAATAGTTCCCAAACAGGTTCTCATAGATTTCAATTATTTGTGAAGCCAATGGTGTACGTAGACTGAGGTAGGATTTAATTTTGATTTTTTTTTCTCTTATTGGAACAAAGGGTAAGTTTTCCAGTCTTGTCCAGTGTGAGACCTGAATGAAACAGATATCTTGAAAACAGAAACTTTTCTAATAGGGTAGTTAGTTAAAAGAGAGTGTTTTTTGATGAAAAGCTCATGCCACAATCAATTTGGTTTTCTGACCCACAGATTGGAGCCCAGGCTTGTATATAACCCTTTAGAGAGATCCCCTCAGAGGGTTTTCCCAAGGGTGGGACCATATGTTAGCACCTCCTCTCTATCCCTAAAGAGGAGGGCTTTCCTTTCCCTCTCCAGTCTGCTTTTGAGAGCATATTGCCATTCCCTGCTGAGTTCGAAGGAGAAACTGGGCCAACTAAATGTGTTTAGAGACTTGTGCTAAAATACCTGTGGAAACAATGTTGCCCAGGAGACATTTACCTTGATCTTTTCAACCTACTTTTGAAGAGTAGCCTTTGGGGGGACAAACCAGATGTGCTTTCCTCCCACCACGATTCTTTTCCTTTCCCTTCTGCGTGACATTTGGAAAAGTTCATTAGGAAGGATTATAGAGCATGCAGAATAAGGACACAGATGACTGGTTTGTGAGCAAGATGGAAGCAGTGATGTGTGTCCCCCGGTTCCTTTTATTGGAATTGTCTGGTGTTCCTGTTTGTGATTCTCCTCAAGCTTTTGGAAGGGGAAAGAAACCAAAATAGTCCCCACGATTACAAGAGGCCAGGGTTGAAATGTGCCATGTGGTTTGCTGCCTGAGTTGGACCAGAGTCCTGTGGTTACCCAACTGCGGAATTAACTATCAGATGCCCCTGTGGTAAAATGTAGGGTCTTAGAACTTACAGAGTATCCATAGGGAAAGTAAAACGAGGACAGTCAGGAAATT